TTTGATTATAACCCTGACATATAACCGAAATAGTGCGCTTAGGAAACTGAAACTGACAGTTGAAAGTTATTATAGCTACGGTTAAAGATTCACTCATTAATATCAATTTCAACATATTACTCTATCAAGAGGTGTGCCCTGTCAATATCGATCCTAACACGCGATGGCTGTGATGGAACTTACATTGAGGAAGCTTGCATTGACGTAATCGTTGTAATCCTCTACCCGAGTCATCAGATACGGTCGACATCTGTTCGCTGTGTATGACAGACAATGACATGATAATGAAAAAACAGCATTATACACGTAATATGTAACCTATCGGTATCATATCAAGTCTGAAAAAACGAAAAACAAATCAAGCCCATTACTGAGCACTTCATAAGCATGCATCGAGGCTCAGATGTTCAACTCGTGCTAATGAGCTGAACATATCATTGTGAATCATAATTTCGACACTTTAAGGTTGTGTTGCTAATTCATCTACACACAAACTGATACGTTTATGTGGAATGTAGAGAGAATCAAAATTTCTTTTAAGCAAAGTTTAAAAAAATTATTTTAGAAAATACAAAGAAATAATATTAGTGTTGCGTTGCACTTGTTAACAACCATGTTTGCTTTAGATTCTTTAAGGTAACGGAGTTCAGAAATATCATTTTATTGTTAGCTATCGATAAAAATAGCAGCACAAAGAGTCATTGTAAATGTTAATGCAGCAACGCATAATGTTGCATAAGGTATTATGCTGTATCAGTTGTATCTATGACGTAATATGTAAGTTCAGTACGTGCGAATAAAGACTTACCCGGTACAATCATTTTACATCTGTTCTTGAATATATTCTCGGGACGAAGAGCAACCGTCGTTTCGTCCCGTTCCATTGTATTTGTTACTAATTTAAGTACCTACGTAAAATTAAGATGAAAAAAAGATATATAAATGTATTTTATTCATAAAAAAGAGTAAATGAATGGCGATAATTAACTGATATAATAATAGTCAGCACAAGTATTTCAGAAATACGTTTACTTTAACAGTATTTGATGATATGTAAACTGCACTTGTATATAAGACACTTCAGTGCAAACAAACATGCTTGCCAAAAACAACATGCTCCTTTTTTCAAGACACTATGAACACCAGGTTCAGAGACGAAAGCACATAATAGAATACTAAAACATCAGGTACAAAAATAATACAGAACAAAAACATATGGTGAGATACGATTTTAACACAATAAACCACCGTCTTAAGGGATGACAGTACCTGTATGAATTTTATACATAAATATGATGTAAAATCGTGCCGCTCCCCTCTTGTAGAGACATGCGGGTTGTGACCAGCGATTACAAAGTATGTGGGATGAAACACAGAGACTAAGATACTGTATTAAACAATTACAGACCAGTTACCAAGACCCATGTGTATTCTATTCTATCCTTTTTTGTTGATATTACTTGATGCTCCAGTATATCATTTTGAATATTGACGTCTTGCCGTGCCTGTATGTAGTTTGAATGAAGTTACTATCTTTAAATGGAGGCGGAATGGTCTGTAATTTTGATATATAATTTTGTCTACACTGTAAAATATTTACTAAAGACAATCTAATGAAGTTTATTTGATAATAACCCTGTGAATAAAAACAGCCTCGCGTGATAAGGGCAATACATTTCAATGACAGTAAGAATAGTCTGGTAAAAACAGGCATGCCATTTTCCAGGTTCTCCTCTCAAGCCATTGCTTTTTAAAGTGATAAATTTAATATTCAGTGATGAAGAAGTTTTTGTAGTGTGGCAGAGTATTTATATAATACATGGATAACTATATCCATATACATAAATAACAGTCAGTTGTTACAAAGAACTACATCACTGAGCAAGAATTATTTTTAATTCGAGTTCTGCAAGTGAGTGGAACTCACCTGCACCTACTTGCCTAACCGATAGATAAATATATACTGACAACTACCACATAGCGGTTAAGCTTTCTCCGATGGTTTGCATACCTGGATCAAAATACCTATATGTAGGTGAATTGCAGAAATACTATATAATCAACCCGTACAGTTGCGACGCACAGTTCGTATTTTGCAAATGCATTTCTGTGTATATTAAATAGCAGGCCTTGCGTAATATTGTTTTACATTTCGTATTATCCCGCTTGTGTCTCTTCCGTCTGCGTTTGTTATCTGTACTTAATGTTGAAGTGTGTTACGAAATTGTGTGGATTGCTGTCATCGTGCATGTTATACTTTTGCTGTCTGGTGTAATTTTTATGAAAACAAGACAAATAACTTTGACCGCAAGTTAAGCTTTCGCAGAAGTGCCTTTTCTAATCATGCATTCGGAACTTCTTTGGAGTATAGTCGTAAACAGTTACCTCGTACTGCTCATCTAGTTTCGTTTTCCCTATACTCTGTTCATATTGCAGCAGTTCTGATAAGGTGTCTGGATAAGAATCGAGAGTTATTGACGTGTCTCCACATATTAAGGCTTCCAGTAGAACATCGTAAACAAACATGTATTGTTCCTGAAAACAAAAGATAGGTGGGGTATAAAAGTCGTCTATGTATTCAATACTAACAGAACATATTTTACAAGTGAAACATTTGATTATACTTCAAATTAATGTAAGAAAATACTTAGCAAGTCTTCCCTCATCTTGTATCTTAATAGGTACGAACGAAATATGCCCCTCCCCTCAATTTTTTATACAGATTCTGCATGTGTATTGGTTATACAAAATAAAAAAAAATCTTTTTTTTTTTTCTTTTTTTTAAAAATTATTTTATAATCTTAGCCACCATATCAATAAATTGTAATTTTCATAAATATTTATCAGAAACATGCAATCTCCATCTTAACATGTTGGAAAATTTCGTTTTTGGATACGCCAGATGGCTTTTTGTATGATTTTGATCTCAGACTTTACAATGTATCTAAAATAAATGTAAATAATAGTTTACACATATAGCTATCTAAATTATATTTTGACTGGTTAAGTAAATTAAAACTGGTTAGGTCATATTTACTTAATATACTTATTCATCTCACAATATCCGAATGACTGTTCGAAGAATGGTGGAATATTTCGTAAGACAATGCAAATCTACTTGCTAAAGGTGTTGATGAATTGTTTTATATAACGGACTGAATATCAGTATATATGGACGCACGTGTGTTCACTGAATATTATTGGTTTATAGGACATACTGTACAGGTTTGCACGTGTTAGAGATACACTTGTCATCTTAATCAATATTCCTTCCTTCCTAACTTCTGTGATAACCGTTGTTGTAATAATTAGGAGTCAGGCAAGCATGAAATGAACAGCCTAAGTGTGCAGTGGAGCATGAAGCAAACATTACCAGTGTCTGGACCATGTTGACCCTCATTGTCCTCATCTGTTGGACAAAATTATGGACGTCTATCAAGCCCTCATTCTTAGCCTGGTCAAGGTTAACGTCTACTGCAATGTATGTCCCAGTTCGGCCAACACCAGCACTGAAGGTCAAGCAGAGGGGAAAAGAGTCATGTCGCGTACAAACAAATGTAGTTTTATGTACTGAATAAAAACTAAAGGTCAAACGGAATAAATAATTACTGGAACATCGGCACAACCTTTTTTAACACATTTAAATTCTATGGAAATATTTGCGAGTGTTTGCCAGCAATTGCATGCTGTACAGAATGCTGTCAATTACCTTTGGTTTAAGAGTATACTTATTTTGCGTACTCATGACAATATTTTCAGGAAAGTGTTTTCCATCAACTTGTAGACATGAGAAAATAACAGCATAACAGAAAATGTTTTAACGGAATGGCATCAACTTCAGACCTAATAGTCATTTTATTGCTTCGGCCATTGTTAATTCCTATCCACTACTAGGTTTGTAACAATCACCGATGCCTTTATTGCCTCCGGCTAGATGTATTAGCCATTCCTTCAAATCAATTGTGCAAGAATGCGCTTGGTATCGGCTAACACGTGCGATACCATATTCGGAAATGGAGGTTTATAATGGAAAAGGACGGAGCAATATCCTTTTTGCATTAAATGAATACATTTACATGGGGGAATGGTGGCTAGCTCGTGTGATTACACTTGATTGCATCAAACATTTTATTGGAGGAAATGGAAGGGAACAATGGTCTACGAAATCTCTAATAATTTATACAATGTATTGCTCACAGCGTGAAGTTAAAACGTGTCCAGCATGCTTCGGCCTACCGTCTTTGATACTCTGTTTTTATAGAACTGTTTCCATTGGATAAACTCTAGCTAGCAGTGTGTCCATTGCACTCTCACCATTTCGTTGCACCGTTCGCTTAAGGTGTTAAAAAGTGATTATCTGACTGAACGCGTCAACAATGGATTTGGCACATCTCTATGAAGGCGACTAGTGAGGGGTGGAGCTGGCGTTTTCATCGATCAGTGAAACATTAAAGGGCTGTGTCCAAGATATCAGGTGGAACTGTAGCATAATATTGAAACTGTATAGATCACCCGCTAAGTACTTCATGGTGAGTCAGCATCGAGGCTACCCGAAAGGTGTTTTATGTATCAGCGTTATTACGTTTGATTGCATTATCAGATCGTAAAACACACAAAGAACGTATAACGAATAGACACTGTGTTACCGGCACAATCTTAAAGTCAAAAATAGACATATTAAGTATAATTATCCTAACGCAATCATCAATGGCAGTATTGTATTAGATTAGCTCAACAGCAGACTATGGTACCGTCCTGAGGTACAACAAGCATAACACAATATTGGGTTTATACTTAACTGTCACATTAGCTCTAGTACGATTCAAAATTCTATTATTCTTGTTGTTTTAATCAGGTTTTAATTTCCTTATTTATTTATGCAATGGAATAAAATGCTTACATAAAATTGATCCAGTTATTGTTTCCTTTGAAAAACTACAATACTAGGTTATTTAATGAACACCTGTATCAAGATCCTACCACCGGCCCCTACCAATCAGGCAACGTTAATGAAAAACGAGGCTCAACACATGTCTAGATATTTCAATATAGGCCTCAGGTCGAACCTCTGATCGTTAACCGTCACCTAGGGGCGCACCGCAGACCGGATATTGAAGAAATGAATCATATTAACCGCAAAGTGGGCGAAACTTGGCATGTGCCATGTGGAAAAGCCATCAGTGAATCAGCGAAACAATCGTCCACCAATCTATTCACCTAAATGAGATTTCAATCCATAACGTTGATAAATAATTACATAAAACTCCGATTAACCCATTGTCCGAGAAAGCATTCGTTAACACTGCAATTAGCTTGGTCATATGGAAGCGAAGTCTGTGATATTTCAGGGAGCGATCAGAAGTTCCATCGGACAAGACAAAGAGACCTTTTCAAGGTTAAACCACCGTCAGTAATTGGTGAACAATGAAAAGCAATCTCTGTTTGATTACCACTGCAACAAAACAATGAGCTGATGAACTATCATAGTTACAAAGGGCGTAACCCGTTGGGACTCCACAATTTATGTTAATGGGTACGGGTCGGTGTGGGAGTAGTAAATTCTGATTTGTGTACTCTGCTACTACGACATATTTACGGCAATATCGGAGCCCTGTGGCATATCACAACGTACAATTTTCAAGAGTCGTCAATCTAGGGAACCGTCGTAAAACATACGAAGCGATTATTTCAAAATTGTGCATAAATCCGTACAATAAGGAAAACATGTTTCCGTTTATGAGGTTCAGTGAGTGGTGAAAGGTTTAATATTGCCAGAACAAAAAATGTCCAGTGCTTGTGTTTTTTAATCGGTAATGCTTATATGTTAAAAGTATCGCATTTCGTAAAATAATGTCATACAAATGTAGGACACATGAACGGGAACATTTGAATCTTAGATATAAAATTAGAAAGCTAACGATTCATACTACTTGAATATTTTTTATAATATTTTCGGTGTCTAAAAATAATCTGCATGTAAACAAATTTTAAGTATATGTCACA